GCCGTGAGGTGTGTGCTTACTGGGATAATAACTCTTACATAGTTCTTGATTTATAGTGCATTGAAACTGTATACTTCTTAATGAATCACCTTGAATAAAAATAATTACAGAAATTGAAATTAATTGAATTCAAAAGTGCTAATTGGAAATTCCCATATAAAGCTGACAAAACTTGGAAATCCCCATACAAATCACAGTTTCCTAATGGAGGACAAGAACACGAAAAATTAGTTTTTCATGTGGAAATGCAAATGGGCAATATCCAAAACTCAGTTCAGATTTAACAGTTAAGCATTAAAAATATAAATTTTTCTTCGTGTTCATTCTTTACAAATAAGAATTTCATTTGGAATATTTGAATATATTATTAATAATATTTGAATTAATTACCTGATCATTGTTAGTGTTTCTAAGTGCTATTTCTTCAATTCTTTTCCCATCAAAGTTATTGTTTGTGTCCAAATAAATTGCTGAGTTTTTACCTTCTTCAATTAGTTTGGAAACAAGACTAAAGCAAAACTAAAACAAATAAATAAAATATATTTAAACTGATATAAAACATAAAAGGCAATAAGAATAATCTATTAATTTATTCAAAAACTAATTCTATTTCATTTCAATTCAACCAGTTTGTGAACTTCTGGCTTAAAGATTTTTAAAATAGCTAATTTCAGCCTTAACCAAAAAATAAATAAATAAATGAAAATTAATATAAACTGTGACTTGTGAGTACTTTTGGTAACACCTCAAATTCAAATTATACAATAGAATATAGAAACTTTAGACTTAACTATTAAAACTATTATTATTACAGTAATGAATGTGTATAAAAATAATGCTTATACATTTAAATAGCCAGTTTTAATTTATCAAAGAAAAACAATTAACAATGAGACAAAATAAATGCCCATTTGCAGAATATTAAATTACTTACAAACCTTTATAACAAACAATTTCTCAAAAAATCTTCAGATAAAATTTATGTAATATATAAAATGGACAACATGTAATATATAAAATATATTTGAAGGGAAAAAAAAGGTAGAATAGGCAAATATAATGTTCACATTAGGACTGGGCTTTATGCCGATGTAAGACAATATATCGATTTAACTCCAACATCGTAATACCGATTTATCCATTTCCTCTTCAACAAAATTCCGGAGTGAGCATTTCGACTCTACTAAATCGATTTATTCATTACAGCAAACGCTAAATCGATGTTGCTCTCTCCGATGTAGTGAAACACCGGTTTAATCATTGCGAGAATGTACAGAACAGAGTCCGATCTGCCGTAGCGTAAGGGAAAGATTCAAGGTCAACTATCAACTCATTCTCTTGGTAACACGTGCGCACAACTTCTTTGGCTATTTGCCAAAATCACATCTGGTGCAGGGGTTGGTATAGTTAAATCGGAATGGGCCATTGAATCTCTTCATTCAAAACTAATTCACTACGTTATATCGATATTTGGCGGTTGAAAAAATTTTTTTTTTTTTTTTTTAAATTTATTATTATTTTTTTTTGTAGTTTCTCGCGTGCACAATGTTAAGTTTAGAGATTTATCTTTTTGAGGCATGTGCATTACGGGTCTATTTTCGTATTGTTCGGTACCTGTTTTTTTGCGTCTACTGAAGTTGCAGTTTTGTTTTACTTGGAATCAATTGTAAAAAAATATTGAAAGGGGAAGTTAACGATTTTTAACTTTCAAATTAGCCTTTTTTAGTGGTGCTGTTTTTATTTAGTTTCTTGCGTGCTGCTGCCGGAAGTCACCGATGCTTAGCGATTACTTTGGTGCTGATATGGAAAATCTTACCTTAAACGTATTTTACTAAAAAATTAAGTCCCACAGAGGACTGATCGTTAAGACAAGGTTCCCAGCAGATCACCAAAGTCAAGCATCATTGTCTACGGTCAGTGTGCGGGTGGGTGACCACTTGGATCAGTCTGCATAGGGACCGAGGGTGTGCGGTATTGGTCCTCGTTAAACTGTGCTACCGTAAAGTGCTCGATTTAGCTCGCGGGTCGTCGGGCTACCAAAGCAGGGGTGCCATCCCCTCCGCAGAGGGTCAAAATTGTGATGGCATGTCTTCGGATCATCCTCCGGGATGTTTCCCAGACCGTCGCCAATAGCCCATTATGCAGCTCTAGTGCGACGTAAATTAACAGCAACAATAACAACTAAAAAAATTCAATTTGGAATAAAAGGAAATTGCATCTTATTACTGATATACTTCTTTTTTGTCATTGCCGGGAGGGGGGGGTGAATCTATCACTAAATCTATTCACTTCATTAAATTTTAAATTCTGTGTCCCAAACATATAATTGCTGTTTTGGTAACTAGAGAAAATTGCACCTTCCTTTTTCAGAAAAAATCATTTAGTTGAAACAAATAGATAGCAATGAACATAAGTAAAAAAAAAAAATTTATATTTTCGTGAAAATACATGCTATTTCTGTTGAAATTCATCCAAACTTTTTTATCAAAGCTATAACATGTTGTAAAAGTTAAAAACATTTACAGTTTTTGATTATACTGGTTGTTCAAAAATATTTTTTTCCTTTTTTTCGTCCTTGGAGTTGCTGAATACTAAATAAAATCTTTATTATTATGACTAAAATTACTTTGGAAATAATAAAAAGTCTGAATTCCATTTAAAGTTCTCCAGCACTATATTCCTGATACTTTTAAAAATTGTCCACTTACTACAAATTATAAATAGTAATACACTTTATAAAATCAAGTAAGATAGTTTGATTCATTGCTCAGAAAAAAAATATGAATTTCAAATTTTCGATATATATATACAGTGTTTTCATCATAGAAAAAAAATGGGTGAGAATTTCTCACCCTTTCACAAAAACAGGGTGAGATTTCAAAAAGTTAAGTGAGATTTTTAAAAACTAAAAAAACACAAGAACTCTTGAAAAAAAAATTTCTTTAATTATAATACACTAGGAGACTTCGCCCCCTGCTCGCTGGTGCTCACCAACCCCCGGAACTGCTTTCACAGTTCATTTCGGATGCTCGTTTTGCTTGCTCATTGGATACGTTCTTAACGTCTAGTTTTTGTATACTTTTGAATACTAAAAAAAAAAAAAAACTTTTCACTGTAGAAAATTCTAATGTTTGTTGCTCTCTTTTTTTTTCCTTTTAATTTCTTGCTTCTAAAACTTGGCAACCATTATTTTCCATACAAACAAGGCATTTAAAATAGCAGGAAAATACATTGAATTTTGTTTCCATATGAACTGGGAAAATACAGCGAGGTTTACTTCTTGTTTTCATCTTTTTAAAGTGGTGACCACTCAAAACACAATATATCGAGTATTTAAGAATGATATTTCAGTTACACTAAAGTATTTCATTTTCTATAGCATTATTTGTTATGAAGTATGCTTAGCTGTTGCTTATTTCTTTAAGTTTTTCCAGCCATTAAAACTAGTATAGTTAGCATATTATAACTCACTCACTCAACAGCACAGTGATTATGTGTTTCCTCATAATATATTGTGCATATTATGTATAGGGAAAACACATGGAATTTTTTTTTCTTCCACATTTGAGTGGCAACCCTGAAATAAGACTTATATGTTACTGTGTAGGAATCCATTAAAATTGTAATGGCATTCATTTTGAAATAGCCAACTATTATCAGATGTAATCTTTTATTTAAAATTTGTGTACTTTTATTGTATTGTATTTTTCTTTGTTTCAAATTATCTCTTTGAAATTCTAATTCATTTTATTTAGTCTCTGTATCTTGGTGGTCTTGAGAAATTTGGGACGGAAGATCAAATAAAAAAATATGTTACACCCTTTACAAATGGGGACAGAGTTGGCTGCTTTGCTTTAAGTGAACCAGGTAAACATTTCTAATGGTGATAGATTTTATCAAATGTTTTGATAAATTTTAATAAATGAAAAAAGCATTTTACTGATGATCACTTTTTTTATGTATCAGGTGAATTTTTTTATTAGTTTTGCAATATTTTTATTGGATCCTAAAAACTTTAAGTTTTTTTTTTTTTATTTTACATAACAAACATGTAACCAATTATCTTTAAAAAATAGTTTTTTTCTTACAGTTGGAGAGTTAAGCAGAAAAAAATTTTGTGTGACATTAAAAAAAAGAGAGAGATTTTTTGAGGAAGGATCATATTTTAGCCCTGTTAAACTTCTATATACATAACATTAATTTATTTTGCCAAGTTTTTAATTTTGTAAATTTGGCTATATTTTTTAGAAGTCCGCTTTTTATGCATAAAGATATAACACTTTTCATGCATGAAGATATAAATCTAGCAATAGTTTTTCAATATATTTGCTTGTGCCAAGACATTCATTCTGAAGATAAAATGTTTATTTGTTCAAGTCCTTTTAAAATAATTTTGCCCAATTGACTTCTTCAAAATTCCATTGATTTTTAACTCTCATTTTAATATAAATGTTTAAGGGAAATTTAATTTTTATAATAATGATAGGATGACCTGGATCACGGTCTTATATAATTCCTCTATTGGTATTTTCTATTATATCAAAAGCAGCTTGTGTCAAGTCTAAAATTCCATGTAAACATGCTATTACTCCTATTCTAATGCAAATTGGCTGGAATGTCATTTTTTACTGGCATTATTGAGGTCATCTAATTTGTATTTTTTGTGATGATTATTAAAGTCACCACATAAAACTGACTAAAGGCTAATTTTTACGTGTTTGTTTGCAACTTATTTTACTTGATAATTTCTAAATTACAAGGAATATTTTTTTAAAGTTGTGAATAAGGAAAACAAACAACAAAATTTAAAATATTTCCAAATTTCATTACAATCTGAGCATTAAAAGTGCATTTACTTTGTATTTGTTTACTTTAAATGAGTTTTTCTCAACTTCATTTCTTTCGATACTTGTATCTCTTTGAAACTCTAAGGCTTTTTTTCTATTTGACTTAAAACTCTCAAATTTTCACACAGTGTTAAGAAGTGCATTGTTAATAATAAATAGTATGGAATAATGTGTATGATGTGTAGAAAATTGTATATTGGATTTTAAAGTGGAAAACGTTGAAAAATTTCCGATTTTTTGCTAAATTTTCACAATAAATGCTAGAAAAATTTAACAAATGAAAATAATGCTTATTCTATACTATTTAATATTACTGGTACCCTATCGAATGTGCTCAGAAAATTTCAAAAGCAAACAATTAAAATTGAAGAAATTTTAAAAAAATTAAAAAAATGTAAGAAAATTTAAATTTTTAAAAATACACTTATGAAATTTAATTTTTTTTTTTGAAGATTATTGTATGATGTTTGTTGACTCAATATAAATTGTAAAACTTTAATGAAATAAGTTAAAATTTATCAAAATAATTTTTTGGGTACCCATTCCCCTTAAGCTAGCGTACATTCTAAAATAGATTTCAATCCTCCAAACATTGATTAATGTAATCGCTGCCCCTATATGAAGATAGACTAGTACTATTTTTAAACGTGGATATCAAACTGTTTGCATCCATTTAAAGTGCAGAAATAAAATTCAATTTTAAACTTAAAAAGTAAATTCTATATATCCTAATGTATAAGTCAATTTCTTAATTTGGTTTACAAAATAGCAAATTTTTAATATTACGGGCATATAAGATGATGGAAGATGATGGCTGAAAAAGAATGAAAGTTTCTATTTTGCTGAAAATCTTTTTAAAATTTGGGACTTTAATTATTTTAATAGAGTTGAAGAATAGTTTTTGTGAGACTCAGTAGATTAAGTAGAATCTATTACGGAATGAAATCTGTATAACGACGCTGCTAATGGTTAATAAATCCGTCATTTTACTTTTCAAAATTTGTGGCTTCATAGTATGTTTTGAAAGGTTTTATTATGCTATATTTTTGAAATACTCTTGAATAAATTATCTTTTCTTTTTCTGAATGTAAGTTAAAGTATTGCTTCTGAAAAAGTATTGCTTCTAAAGTATTGCTTCTTTTTTAGTCTTGTATTCACGTGACGAAGATATGATGAGAGAAAATGCAAAATTAATTGTTTATAACATATTCAAAATAATTTTTAAAGTGCTAAACTGATACAGAATTATTTATATAAATTTCATTGTTTATAATAAGTAGATATTTCATGATCGAAAAATCGCCAAGTTTATAACTGGTGTATAAGTCGACCCCTTGGTTTTCATAAAATTTCGGGTTTTGAAAAGTCATGTTATGTTAGGATCTACAGTATTTCTATTATTATTACTTATAATTATAAATTTTCAAACAATATTAATCAGTGGTATTGAAAAATTGATATTAAACTTATAAATTTCATAGGTAATGGTAGTGATGCAGGTGCTGCATCAACAACCGCTAGGTTAGAAGGAGATTCTTGGGTTTTGAATGGAACTAAGGCCTGGATATCAAGTGGTTATGAAGCTGAAGCAGCTCTTGTTAGTATCTTTTTTTAAAGGACTTATCAGAAATTAATATTTTTTCCATCGATAACATTCTAATAATACTAGATCATTTATATATTGATAGCGCTGGGAAACAATTTTTTTTCTTCTTCGCATGAGATTTTTTTAACCTATCTTGAATACTTTTGTGTCACTGATTTCAAATCTGTAATCGGTTTTTCCCTTGCTGCTCCAGATTTTTTCAAAATGCCTTTTTTAGTCTTGTATTTGTTAAACTATGCAAGTTTAAAAACGTCATCTTTTTTTTTTCCAATGGCAGGCACTGAATTTGAATCTTTGTCTATACTAGGACAGAATTGTTGCTCATTTCGCGTTACCCAGTGAGCACCTGTGAACCAAAGTCACAGAGGCGAGCAACATTGCCCACGCCACACTGCCACAAACCCGTTTATAGGGTGGGCCACATTCACACATCATTCACACACACGCAACAGAGGACAGCACAAAGAGAGAGAGAAACATCCATGCCCAGAGCGGGATTCGAACCCGCAGCCAATGGCTTCGCAGTCAGGCACGCTAACCACTCGGCCACCTGGCCGGCTAAAAACGTCATATAAAACAGGGATTATATAAATGTTGCAGGAAACTTCTAGAGCAGTTAGGCAGGGTGGCCACCCACCTTTAAAACCTTGAAAACCTGAAATTATCAGGGAATTTTTTTACACTGGAAAAAACCTGGAAAAATCAGGGAAATTTGGATAAAAACCAGGAAAAATCAGGGAAATTTGGATGAAAACCTGAAAAAAACAGGGAATTTTAAAGAAAAGCTGAAATTTTTTCTTAGATATTTTTTTTAATTTCACTAATTTAAATTATTTACTAATTTTCTTAATTTAAATTATTTCATCCATTATACCCACATTTGTTTAGACGGAAATGTATCTCCAAACAGTTAAAATTTTATCAACTTAGCTGTACTTTGCTTGCATCAAAATTTGATCCATTATAACCCTGTTAAACTAGAATGCCACATAAAATTCTCCCATGGTTGCTAAACAAATGTAGAAACCCTTGATCTCTATGGAGACTATGAGACTGTGCAAATTAAGAAAGGCAAAGATTGTGCCTGAGGTTAGAAGAAGGGGTTAGGATGTTTGCTTCTGTTTTTAAATTCTAACCTTGGGCTGAATTCATTTATGACTCAAGTTTTTTCCGATGCTTTGGTGGTAATTTTTTTCCATTTTGACAAAATGAGTCAAAATGTTTTTGTAATTTTAACTTAATAAAATTCTCCAAAAATTAGTTGCTTATAATTTAATAATTATAGATTTTATACTGCGCTCTTTTTCTGAAAGCTTTTGTATTCCCGTTCAAAGAAATCTGTAAATTATTTTTTCTCAGCAAACCAACCAATCAGACATTTTTTTCACAATTGCTAATAGCAATGTTTGTCGACAAATTGTTACAATTGTTGCATTAATGCTAATTTTTTCATTTCATTTTAACCTTTTATAACATATTTTAATTTTTGAAAAAGGGTTTTTTTTTAGAACTAATTATATATTATATCAAATTTAGTCTATTGTTTTATTACGACCACGAGCCGTTTTTAAATGATAAAATTAAATATTATGGAGTTAGCGAGCAAAAATTAAAAATTAAATGAATTAATTAAAAATTAATTAAAAATTAAATGAAAAATAATTTAATAAGAAAATGAAAGCAATTGACGATCATTTTAATTCTGAAATCCGAAAACAATTAGCTGTACAAATGTAAAATATTTGTTACTATCTGATTACTGATGTCTTAAAAGTTAATTTTTGCTTTGTTTTTAAAATAGTCCATGCAGTTTTGCAAAAAATAGATTATACATCCTATTATCAAATACCCATTGTGAAATATTCATTTTAATTAATGAATTTTTATTTCCTATTCAATAAAAGTTATAAGAGAACGAACATTTTTGGGAGCCACTGAAGTTATAAAAATTTATTGATATAATATCATCTGAAACCGTTTTCCTTTGCTTAATAAAAATATATTAAACAATGCTTATCCAAGGTTTTATTGATCATTATGTGTTTTTGCCATTTTGTAGGTGCACTTAGATCAAATGCTACTTAAAGTAACACATTAAAAAAATTTTATTCAATAAAAACAATGTATTCTACAAGCTAAACATATTATTTTCCCTACATGTCTTAATTTTTTAAAAATTAATGTTGCATCAAAACATTAAAAAATAAAAAAAAACAAAATCTTGTCAAAATAATTTTTTTTTAAGATGACATGTTTAAAAAAAATGACATTTTGGATAAAATATTTTATAACATAGACACTTTTCTTGCACACATCCTACACTTTATAAGAGAGGAATAAGAAGAAAAAAAACACGGACCTGGAAATTTTAAGATCTTTACCTGGAAAAGTCAGGGAAATTTGAAATCTGATTTGAGTGGCCACCCTGTTAGGGAACATCGAGATTAAAATTGCATAGAAACCCATGCCTGAAAATGTGATGTTTGTTGCTATTATAAACTATTTCTTCATGTGCTTCTAAACAGAACATAATAGGAAAGTGCCCCATACCTTATGACATGGGTTTCTTTGTAATTCTAATGATGTGCCCTAACTTCCACACAAGTTTGTTGTAGCATTTATATGCCCCCTTTTATCTATACCAGTGACGGGCAATCTTTTTGGGTCGAGGGCGAAAAATCGAGGAAAAAAAAGTTTAGTAGGCCTAGTAAAAACTTCTAAAATAAAAAATAAATTTAAGAAAAAAACGACATTCAAGTTTTAATATTAAATGAGATGAATGGAATTGCGATTTCATTTCTGAAAGTTCTTTTTATTGAGATTCGAAGTAAAAAGTGCTTATTTTGAGAAACGTGGAAAAATGCTTGTAAAAAAAATATTTCCAATTCATCATAGAACGCATGGCCCTCTGAATAATTTTTGTTAGTAGCTACTCTTTGGGGTTAAAAATTTTCACAAATAACTCAAAAAAGCACTACCCATTTTATACATTTAATAATTTGACCATTATTTACAATGATGTTATATGTGTTCAATCTTTCCAATCGCAATAAATAGTGTTAGAACTCGTGAAGGGCAGAAAAATCTACTCTTAGGATTCTACTAAAAGTCTACTCGAGGACAAAATTTGGTCGGCTGTTCAACGACTGATAAAATAAAATAAAATTTACGCCTATTCTATAAATAACTTCTGCTTTCAACATTTTACCAATTGAAGTTGTCTGTGCTAACTATTTCCTTTAATTTATGTTTTGTAGATCAAAAATAGAGAAAGAAAAAAGGTCATGAATACTTTGTTGAATAACAAAGACCAAAAATAGCTCAAAACATAGTTGACAAGAAAATGGCTGTAGAATGTATATTGTTTATATTAACCTCGGATCGGCAAGTTAAAATTCTATCCGCGGGCCGGATAAAAACCTTCCTTCGGGCCACGGTTGGCCCGCGGGCCGTAGTTTGACCATCCCTGATCTATACCGTTTTTAAACTTGCACAATTCGTCAAGAAATGGACTGAAAACAGTCATTTTAAAAAATTTAGCCTTAGGAGCGAAACTAATTTCAGATTTAAAATTCCCTTACCCCAACTAAGCAATACCAAATATTTGCATAAATGCAACAAAAAATTTATTTATTTCCCCCGTGTAATTTATAGGCATCAAAAAATATTAAAAGCTTTTTTTTCTCTTTTTAATGACACTAATTTAATCTGCATTTATATTTATATCAATTTGCTTTGTCTTATAGTCAATTAGCAAATTTTAGTAATAAGTTTCAAACTGTACTTCATTTTAGGCTTTTATTCATGGCCAAATTTTTGTATGAAATTATTTATTTCATCAAACTTATTTATTTTTAAAAGGGTTAAAAAAATTACGTTGCATGATTTTTCTGGTTTAGAGTCCCATTTATATTTCTCTCTCTTTTTTTAAATTTATTAGTCTTAATGGCATCTGACAAAATTCAATTTATATTAGCAGAATTCAGTTTGCTGTATTTCTGATGTAACAAAATATTTTTTTTTCTATTTACTTTAATGTATTAAAACTAATATTTTTTTACTTTAAAAATTTATCTACCACTTTTATTCGTCTTAGCATTGGTTAAATGAAGTTCAGATGATTATAAATCCCCTTGTGATTGTAAAAGAAAATGTTAAGAACTTAGCACCAATAGAAATTACATTAAATTGGTGCCACACGAAAAAAAGTAAAAACTAATTCACACTGGGAATTATAAATAATCATTTCTATTTCATCTTTTTATATACTGGTTTATTTTATTTTTTGAATTATTAATTATTATGCATATTAAATGGAAAAATTAGGCATGAAATCTAATATTTGTAACTACTTTATTAATGTTCACTTTTCAACAAATAAATAGATATCTTAGTTGGTATATGGTTGGGCTCAAGAAGCTGTGTCCGCAGACTTTCCTTGTACAAGATGGTGATTAGTACACACTACCTCTATCGTGGTCACAAAGTTATCCAAGTTTTCATAACAAATCGATAGAATACTGGATGGAAGGGGCTTTGGTACAGGTTAAGTTTACTTTCTATGGATGGATGGATGATGTGAATGTGACCTCCGTGCAAAACAGGCTGTAACGTATGTGTGTGGAAGAAGTCGCATTCTCGGCCATAGATGGCGCCAGTGGAAAACAAGAAACATACATTCCACTGCCTTAAAATACGCTTGTCAATATTGTCAAGTGGCATAAAACAACAATAACAGCAAATAATTATATTTCATCTAAGTTCTGCAAACTTTTGATTTGTTATAAATATTTTACTCTTTCTTTTTACTATTTAGTTACTGAAACTGTGTTTTCATTTTAAACCAAGATTCTGAGCACTTTTTCTTATTTCTATCTGCTACTCTTGAGACTTGCAATGATATTTGAGAGATACTGTACTGTGATTTGAATGATACTGTAATGATTTCTTTTTAATACTATTTAAAATTTAATTTATAATTCTGAAATTTAACTATTTATTATTAGACAATCTAATTTAAATCAAATAAATTATTGTTTGTTTTTTTTTTAAACACAATCTTAAAATTATGAACCTTGTTAAATCTAGAAATGGGTTGCAATTATTATATAATAGAAATGCTCAAGAATTTTGGACTTTTATATTTCAGAATTTTAACATTTATCTCACATGTTAAATTTCATGTTACATGTTAAATTTCAGACAAGCTTAATATTAAAAAAAACCATATTGATTTCAAGTTTGAATCAGCTTAGACCTCCAAAACAGAAACAACTTGTCTCTTTCTCATTGCATATTAATCATTGGATGACTTTTTGACCACTAAATAAATACACTAAAGTTACTATATTTTATTGTTTACAGGTGCTTGCTTCAACTGATAAAGCTCTGAAGCACAAAGGAATAAGTTGTTTCATTGTTCCTAAACCAATCAATGGTCTCACATTAGGCAAAAAAGAAAACAAATTGGGTATTAAAGGATCATCAACTTGTAACTTAATTTTTGAAGATTGTAAAATTCCAAAAGAAAACCTCTTAGGGAAGCTAGGAGAGGGATTTAAAATTGCAATGGTAATTTCTTCAAGCTTATCAGAGTTGATATTTAATTTTAATACAAATATGAAATTTTGTTTATTAATACAAAATTATTTCAGACCATTCTTGATGCTGGAAGAATCGGTGTTGCAGGGCAAGCATTGGGAATTGCACAGGTGAGTGTGATAATAAACAAAAGAATGCTTCTTTCTTTTTTTAAAAAAATGTCATGCAAAACCTTTACAGGCAATGTAGAACATAATTTATATTCATAATTTATATTCATAATTTATTTTCAAAAAAAGCTTACTTTCTAAATGCAAAAGAAAAATAATTAGCCTTAAATTTTTCAAATAAAATATAAAGTAACTTTGGAAGAATATGTATTAAAAGTGTTAAACCTTTATCATGACTCTTGACTCCACTGCCGGGCACATAAATGACCCCTGACCTGAAGGTCAATGGGTGAGGGATATGGGATGTGTTGCTCCTCTATTAGGGGGGGGGGAGGAAAGGAGTTAATATAGAGAAGGATTCCTTAATGAGGATCAGGGGTGATTGTATTCCAGGTGTACCCTGGAATTCTGGGTTTTTCATATCATCTCTCCAGGCTAAGAAACTAGAAGAAGACTTTGATTTGTAGACTTCTGCAAATCAAAACTTATAATCAGAAATTTTTTTCACCACAATCTAAAATTTAAAGTAAGAATTAAGTTCTAAAATTTAAATTTTGAAACCTTTGCTGACTCACATTACTGGGACGTTTTCATACACGTGACTTTTCCGTAATTTTGGATTTTCACCATTTTTAATATCTGGAACTATGCCGGAATCTAAAAATCATGCTTTGCAATTCATATTTACGCTATTCAAAAATCCGATATTGCGATTTGTATTTTCGCTTTCTTAAATCCTAGATCGCGATTCATAGTCGCAAAATTTTAAAATCCAAAAGTTTTTTCTTAAATTAATTACTATAAAAGTATGATATTGTTTATTGGTAGGTAATTTAATTATAAGTTTTAGTTCAAAAAATTATATTAAATAATTGTAGTGCATATAAATTGATATCTTATTGAGTTTTTGCACATAAAATCTTCCGTTTTTTTTCACTTTGTGTCACAATCACTCCTGGAGGATTTATCATGGACGAATGCAGATCAAATATAGTGAGCAATGTGGCTACAGAAGTAAAAATTTGGATGTGTTTTCTTGGAAATATGTATAATTGTACATAATATATAAGTTTAAATAATATCAAGTTTTGTAATAGTCACAAACCTTAAATATATATATGTGTGTGTGTGTATAAATATATAATATGAGTCCTGTTATCTTTCTGAGCCTACTAACACGAACTGCAAAGAAAAGTTCTCATTATGTTTATAGTAAATATAGGACAAACATAAAAAGTACAAAATTTCAAATTAATTTGTTAATTCAAATTAATATTTTGCACCTTGATTGGCAAAATTTTTGACCTCAAACTTAATGATGTTGAAAAATTTGTGTTGTATAGTTAGCATCTGAAGATATTTTCTCTGCAAAATTGAACAATTACTTTATAACTCAATGTATTGATTTTAACATACTTGTTTCACTGACATATATTATAAATCAGATTTAACAATTTAAATAGCTTTTCTCTCAAAAATGAATGAATTGATCTATATCTCACAATGTATTAGTTTTTAACTACTTGCGATACGTTATAAATCCGAGGTAAAAATTTAAATAATCATTCTCTGTAAAATTGGCTAATTGATCTAAAACCCAATGTAATTATTTTAATTTATTTAATTATTTTATTGTCACGTATCATTTTTCTCAATTTTTCTTTCTTAATTTTTTTAAAATATCTATAAATATTTTTTCTGTTACAGGGGGTTCTTATATTCCCCAATCCAAATGCAATGATTCATGATGTATCAGACACTTAAGGAATTAATACCCTAAACTAAATAAAGCAAAACTAATTAACGTGCATTCTAATGGAGCAAAGCTTATAAAATAATTTTTTATTGTTCATTTCGACTTGAATTACAAGAATGTATAATTTAAAAAGTTCTCCTTAAACACAAAAGTGAGCTACAGGCATTACTAAAAGAAATTTTTTCAGTAGTATAACATTAGCAATATAAAGAAAAAGCCACCTAGAAGAAATTGTAACCTTTTAAGTGGTTAGAATATCAATGCAAAATGGGGGGAAAATACTACAAGTTTATGAAACTCTTAACAATATTAAAATACTTTATTACAATCAAGGAGTGAAAAATAAACTGACCAAACATACTGATTATCTGAAATTGATAGGATTTTCTTTCTTAATAAGTATGTCATAATAAGGAATAAATTTTTAACCTTTTGATTCTAAAAACAAAATGGAGTTAAATCTAGAGTTAAATCCAATTGCTCGGTTGTATATTTTCTTCGTCATTCAATAGAGAAACTGTACTGAACTAGACTTTTATTGTCAATCTGGTAGAAATGTGATCAATAGCCTAGTATATATTTTATATTGCCAATATTGACCCCTGTAGCAGAGATTTTTAAAACTTTCTGCTACAATTTTTTTACACAAATTCCTTTCTGAATCGTAACAAATATATAGATTACTTATTTAAAGTAATATAAGCGCTTTGTGTTTACAAAAAAAGCCTTTATGTGGAGGAGAGTGGGGTCAATTGTAACATTTTTTACTTAACTATTTTTAACTAACAAAAAAACCTATATATTATAAGTATTAATTGACAGGCNCTTTTCTTGTACACATCCTATACTTTATAAGAAAAAAGAAACAAAAACCTGGAAATTTTAAGATTTTTATCTGGAAAACCTGGAAAAATCAGGGAAATTTGAAATCTGATTTGAGTGGCCACCCTGTTAGGGAACATCGAGATTAAAATTGCATAGAAACCCATGCCTGAAAATTTGATGTTTGTTGCTATTATGAACTATTTCTTCATGTGCTTCTAAACAGATCATAATAGGAAAGTGTCCCTAACCGCTTATAATGACCTTATAGGGCATGGGTTTCTTTGTAATTCTAATGATGTGCCCTAACTTCCACACAAGTTTGTTGTAACATTTATATACCCCCTTTTATCTATACCAGTGATGGGCAATCTTTTTGGGTCGAGGGCAAAAAATCGCGGAAAAAAAAGTTTAGTAGGCCTAGTAAAATCTTCTAAAATAAAAAATAAATTTAAGAAAAAAACGATATTCAAGTTTTAATATTAAATGAGATGAATGGAATTGCGATTTCATTTCTGAAAGTTCTTTTTATTGAGATTCGAAGTGAAAAGTGCTTATTTTAAGAAACGTGGGAAAATGCTTGTAAAAAAATATATTTCCAATTCATCATAGAACGCATGGCCCTCTGAATAATTTTTGTTAGTAGCTACTCTTTGGGGTTAAAAATTTTCACAAATAACTCAAAAAAGCACTACCCATTTTATACATTTAATAATTTGACCATTATTTACAATGATGTTATATGTGTTCAATCATTCCAATCGCAATAAATAATGTTAGAACTCGTGCGGGCAGAAAAATCTACTCTTAGGATTCTACTAAAAGTCTACTCGAGGACAAAATTTGGTCGGCTGTTCAACGACTGATAAAATAAAATAAAATTTACGCCTATTCTATAAAGAACTTCTGCTTTCAACATTTTACCAATTGAAGCTGTCTGTGCTAACTATTTCCCTTAATTTATGCTTTGTAGATCAAAAATAGAGAAAGGAAAAAGGTCATGAATACTTTGTTGAATAACAAAGACCAAAAATAGCTCAAAACATAGTTGACAAGAAAATGGCTGTATAATGTATATTGTTTATATTAGCCTCGGATCGGCAATTTAAAATTCTATCCGCGGGCCGGATAAAACCTTCTTTCGGGCCACGGTTGGCCTGCGGGCCGTAGTTTGACCATCCCTGATCTATACCGTTTTTAAACTTGCACATTTCGTCAAGAAATGGACTGAAAACAGTCATTTTAAAAAATTTAGCCTTAGGAGCGAAACTAATTTCAGATTTAAAATTCCCTTACCCCAACTAAGTAATACCAAATATTTGCATAAATGCAACAAAAAATTTATTTCTTCCCCCCCATGTAATTTATAGGCATCAAAAAATATTAAAAGCCTTTTTTTCTCTTTTTAATGACACTAATTTAATCTGCATTTATATTTATATCAATTTGCTTTGTCTTAAAGTCAATTAGCAAATTTTAGCAATAAGTTTCAAACTGTATTTCATATTATGCTTTTATTCATGGCGAAATTTATGTATGAAATTATTTATTTCATCAAACTTATTTATTTTTAAAAAGGTTAAAAAAAATTACGTTGCATGATTTTTCTGGTTTAAGAGTCCCATTTATATTTCTCTCTCTTTTTTTAAATTTATTAGTCTTAATGGCAGCTGACAAAATTCAATTTGTATTAGCAGAATTCAGTTTGCTGTATTTTTGATGTAACAAAATATTGTTTTTTTTCTCTTTACTTTAATGTATTAAAACTAATATTTTTTTACTTTAAAAATTTATCTACCACTTTTATTCGTCTTAGCATTGGTGAAATGAAGTTCAGATGATTATAAATCCCCTTGTGATTGTAAAAGAAAATATTAAGAACTTAGTACCAATAGAAATTACATTAAATTGGTGCTACACGAAAAAAAGTAAAAACTAATTCACACTATGAATTATAAATAATCATTTTAAAATAATCATTTCTATTTCATCTTTTTATATACTGGTTTATTTTATTTTTAAATTATTAATTATTATGCATATTAAATGGAAAAATTAGGCATAAAATCTAATATTTGTAACTACGTTATTAATGTTCACTTTTCAACAAATAAATAGATATCTTAGTTGGTATATGGTTGGGCTCAAGTCCAAGAAGCTGTGTCCGAAGACTTTCCTTGTACTAGATGGTGATTAGTACACACTACCTCTATCGTGGTCACAAAGTCCTCCAAGTTTTCATAACAAATCGATACAAAGGTACTGGATCGAAGGGGCTTTGGTGCAGGTTAAGTTTACTTTCTATGGATGGATATATGGTGTGTGAATGTGACCTCCGTGTAAAACAGGCTGTAACGTATGTGTGTGGAAGAAGTCAAATTCTCGGCCATAGATGGCGCCAGTGAAAAACAAGAAACATACA